AGAGGAGAGGAGAGGAGAGGAGAGGAGAGGGGAAGGGAAGGGAAGGGAGGGAAGTGAGCGAGGGGAAGGGAGAGGAGGAAGGGAGGGCAAGCAGGAAAGAAAAATCAATCACAAGAATTCAGGAAGCGTCCCAAATGAGACACTGGACATTAGGACTTAAAGATCCTAGGACAAAAGTAATACTGAGACAAAAGCAGTTGTTCTGTGTCCTGTGGGTATTTATCATCTACCGAGGGGCAGATAACTAGAACGCCACAATAAAGAATTGTAAGGACTGATAATGAGAGAAAAGGAAGTTTTGGGAGAACATGGCAAGGTTGCTATCCCATTCTGGAAGAGGAGCAGATAGATGGTCTGGGAAGTTTCCAAGAAAAGGTGGGTACTGGCTGAGCCACTTTAAAAAAAAAAAAAATGAGGCTAGATACTGAGGGGGTGGGCTGGGGGGGTGATAGTCTGATTTGCCTACTTTGTACACAGTGTATGTAAAATGTGCAAAATGGTTTGTGAAATACGGATAGGGGATGAGTTGGTAAGGTAGGAGAGCAAGGATAAGGTAAAAGGTAAGTTGTGGAGGACCTATACATACCAACATCATTCTTAAAAGGAAAATACAAAAATTCACTAAAAACATCTCAAAAAGCATGTCTATGACCATGTTGCATTTTAGGAACACTGCCTGACACAATATGGAGTTCAGGTGGCATGATCAAGTTGATTGAGTTTAGGATCATGTAAAAGGCACACCTGTGAATGTCAAGGACTGTGTCTCCAGAGCGGAAGGGAAACCATGTATCCACCCTGAATATGAGCAACTCTATCCCATGGGCTGTGGTCCCAGACTGAAAAGGGGGAAAAGAAAAATCTAGCTGAGTCCCAGTATTCAGCTTTAGCAGGACCCCCACCCACATCTGGCTTCCTAACTACAGTAGACAATGTGACCACCCACCTCAGACTCCCAGCACCAGCCTTCCCATTATAATGGACACTATGCCCTCTCACAGTGCACCCAAATAAATCCTCCATCCTTAAGTTGTCAGATATTTTGTGACAGCACTGAGACCAGGAACTAGTATAGGTAAAGACACAGATTGGGCATAGGAACAAGAAGGAGCCTATAGGAACTTCGTCCAATAGGAAGACAGGAAGAAAGGAAAGGCAGAGAAGACAGCAAGTCACCGAAGGGATTCTTCCGTGTCCGAGCACGATGGGGATGCCATTAGCACAGAAGAACAGAGCTGGGAGAACAGAGAAGACAGATTCGGTTTTGAACATTTTGATTTCACGATGCTTTGTGGGACATGTAATTGGAGATGTTTTAGGAGAAAGGCCTTGCTACTGACATCATATGTGTCCGCAGTGGTTGAAGCTCTTGGAGTGGATGGGATGAGGTAGTCTACAGGACGGCATAGGAAGACAGTCAAGGAGAGGCCAGAGGTGCACACTAACAGCTCTAAAGTGAGGCCCTTTAAGGCAATACATGGTGACTTTCAAAAGGGTAGAGGAGAACAAGGAGGGGTGGGTATTACGGAATGAATCTAAGAGTCCAAACACAAGAGAGCAAATGGCCAACTATTCAAAATGGCCCCAAGAGCCTGAAGAAGAGGACTTTAAAATTCGCTGCAGTTTTTGGTGCAAAGAGGCCTTTGGTGGCCCTCAACAAAAGGTCGTCTTCAGAGTGGAGGACCAAGGCTCCTGACTAGGTATGAAGGGACAGGTAGGAAATAAGGACAGCCAGATCTTGTCACCCACTCTTTCAAGAGGGAAACAGCAGCGCTAGAGGCGACCTCTGGGAAGGACTGTAAAGTTCAGAAAATACCTGAAGAAGTGCAGAAAACCTCCTAGTCTGGTGGACTTGGGCATGTTGCAAATACGTAAACAAATCCCAGAAAAGGGCTCTCTCTGAGTCCCGCTGAGCACGAAAGGGGCTTTTGTTTTCGTCCCCTTTGTCGGGGAGAAATGAATGGCCCCTGGGTTAACCTGTTCAGATGAAACCAGCGCGAAAACCGCCTTCTCTAAAACCCGTTACCACCGCTCCTTGCGGCCCACCTGCTCTGCCCTTGGAGACTTCCAAGTCCAGACCAAAAGCACCGGTGATCAGTGGAGAGCCGGGCCCTCTAATCTTAACCCAAAGCAGCCAGGTCTATCCGAAAGGCTTGTTCAAATAAAAAAAAGTACAAAAGGGCAGGCAGTCTGGATGCTGGGACCCGGCTTCAGGGAAGGGGCTTTCCCACTCGGAAAATGGTCTGTCTCCTGGAAGCAAGGGTAAGAAGGAGCACAGAGAACGCTCCTGGGATAGATGGCTTTAATGCTCCCCAGCCTGGCCAAGCGCTTGTCCAACAAGTCATAAACAAGAAGGCCAGGAGGCTAGCTGTCCCAGAAGGGCAGAGCTCACTGAGAGCCCCCTGCGGCTGGCTCTGGCCAAAGGGGCTCGCTCCCTCGCGGGCGCGAGCCGTGGGTGAGCTGAGACTCGTCCCCGGCCCCTCTCTGCAACTTACACCGGCTTGTTTTCCAGAAACGAGATACGCATTTGCAAAGCCAAACACACTCTGGCAACGACAGCTCAAAATTAGCTCCGCGTTTGTAAGCCTGGAACTCGGTCCAGCTGAGGGCACGGGAAGGCAGCCCGAGCCGGGGACGTTTTTGTTTTGTTTTGTTTTTTCCGGCTGCTGCGGAGGCCCCTTTGCAAGGGTTTGCCCCTCGCTGCACCGTGCAGCCGCCGTGACCCGGGAGCCCCAGCCATGGAGCACGCGCAGAGAGGGGCGCCTACCCTACCCGATCGGCGTGGCGGCTCATGCTGCGGCGGCGGCGTCCGGGTGCCTCGCTCCAGCCAGGGCGCTGCGGACACGGCCTCGGCTGTGGCCCGGGGACCTGGGAGCTGAGCCCGGGACCGCGACTCCTGACTGCGCTTGTTTGCGCTGGGCCGTTTGCTTTTGGGATTTCTCCAAGGCAGATGGAGTCAGGGGGCCGCTATCCCCGGGGGACAGTGATTCCATTGGAAGCTGGCCTTTGACAGGACACACACATGACCTTTGACTAAAATGGCTTTAGGGAAGGAAAAGTGTCCGGACGTTTAAGACCCGGCGTCCCGCACCGCCATTCACACTTCCACCCCCAACGGCGCCGGGTTAATTTTTCATCTTTCAAGCAGTCTGTGAAGTTTGGCGTGCATTTCCCTTTCTTTCTCTAGGATTCGTTCCTGTTTCCTGAAGATCCTGCTGCAGAACTTTCCTGCTGTGATGTCCCTAGCCAGCTGGTGGGTCCCTAAACCAGCAGCATTTCCAGGTGAACCCAGCGGGGTACGCATTCTAGAAAGTTCCTTCAGCACGCTGGGGAAGAGGACCACCATATTTCCACCCCTTCAACATGTCACAATTTTTAAAGGGATTTTCACAACCATGCTGTTACTTGGCCTCCCGGAGTGTATGGGAGCCTGCCTTTTGCTGCTGTTTTACATACAAAGAAACAGAAAGGAGACTCATGCCCAGTCTTCTAACCAAGAGGGTGAAATCTTGGCCTCTGCTCTGAGTGACTCACCTTAACTTAATGACACCACAACTAATATAAAGCAACTGCGTAATTGCTTCAATTTGGTAAATATGAAAGTATTAGAATTTAATAGAATGGCAGTTGCATCATTGATAGCCACAGATATCTTGAGTTTGTTGACTATATTTAAAACTTTGTGGCCATTTTGCCCTCTCAACCAGAGACTGAAAAGATGCTCTGAGTATAAGATCTGGCTTCAGGGGTATACACAGGAGTTCTTGGGGTGAAACCAATGTCCATCATCAACGTTATCAAAACCATTTTCTTTCTTTCTTTTTTTTTTTTTCTAGGTCTGTCAAGATGGTAAGGGCTGGAGATGTAGCTCAATGAAAGATCACTTGTATCACAGGAAAAAGGTTCAATTCCCAGTAATGGAAAAAAAAAAAAAAGCCCAATTCCTCATTAAGTTAGGCATGGAAGATTGCCACAAGTTTAAGGCCTGTCTGGGTTACCCAGTGAGACCTTGTCTCAAAAACAAACAAGAAACAAAGTGGCGAAACACTAAACCAAAAGGACAGGAACTATGGGCTTGTAGAAGGAGCAGGAAGAGCAGTCAACAGCTCCATGGCAATCGGTGCAATAGGAAATGTCATAGTGATCTGCAAAGATGAAAGCCCACGCCTTCCCATTTTCTTGAGCTGGGACAAGGACTCAGGTGATGGCGACCTTCAGCTGTGAAGGTCTCAAAGGAGTCAGGCAGGAAGAGAAAAGGACGAAGGGCATGCCACCCCCAGGCAGCACGGTACACAAAAGCTGCCCAGCTGCATTCAGAGAAGGAAAACAGTTGAGACCAGCAGGAGCACATGGTGTGGGAGCTTGTGTCCACAGAGGAGTGTGTGGGTTTGGACTCTGACCCGCCTCGTGAGTCACTGTAGGAAACTTGGACTTCATCCTGCAATGCCCAATGAGCTGACAGAACTAGCCCCGGGTTATCAGCCCACAAGAAAAGGATGCGGGAGTCAAATGTTGTTGTACAACCAGAATAATATTTATATCAGTGTGGGGCTTAAGCTTTATTGGCCAGATGCGGTTTCTTTTTCCTAATTAGAAAAAAAACATGAGCAATGTGTTTAACCTCAGTAAGCCTCATGTTTCTTATCAATAAGACAGGGATGCTATGAGGATTCGATGAAACTGTGGAAGTTCGTTCTTTCTTTCTTCGGGAAGTGTCTACGGACTAACAGGTAGCAACTGTTAAATTGTAAAGCACTCTAGTTTGCACAGTGTGTAACTACAGAGAAACTAGGAAATCACACACACACACACACACACACACACACACACACACACACACACACACACACACTTGAAGTTCTCTCCCCCAGTCTTCTAGCTTCAGGCTCTTTGGAGATTTATTGCCTTGTTCCCTTTTCTTCTTATCTTCGAGCTCCTTCTTGACTTCCACATCAGTGTGTTTCCTTGAGCTGCCCACTGCAGATTGCCTGTGAACTACCTACATGGGATGGAACCTGCTAGAAATCTACACCATCCTTCAGCCATGGCCCTTGGCACTGCCGTGGTTACCTGGTATGCAGTCTTGCCTGGGTGTTCAAACCCACAGCGATCCTTGCAAGTCTGAGCCACGGGCAGCTGACCTTCATTCGTCCAACAGCCTCCTCCTCCTCCCCAGCAAAGTCTCCAGCTATTAGGAGGGGACTCTACATCTTGTCCCGATACTTTGCTCTGCTTCCGACTCCTCTCTGTACCTCAGAGGTCCCTCTCCTTCTGCATGCTGTGGATTCCCTCACTGCTCATTTTCTCAGAAACATTCAACTACCCCTTCCTTTCAATCTCTCTTCTATTGATTTCATTGATAACACAACTGCTAAGTGCCACTCAGTATCCTTGAAGTTGAACATATAAGGATAAATAAAATATCACTGCACAAAAACACATTTAAGTATTTCCTATATAAAGAACTCATTTTTCTTAATGTGTCATCCACTTCGTATCATTGATTCCATGTCTTTCGTTTTTGCTTTGGTTTTGGTTTTTTTTTTCGAGACAGGGTCTGTATAGGTCTGACTGTCCTGGAACTCATTCTGTAGACCAGGCTGCTTTCAAACTCACAGAAATCTGCCTGCCTCCCTGAGTGGGATTAAAAGCATGTACCACCACCACCCGGCTTGATTCCATGTTTTAGTAAGGGACTTCTTATTTTTCTTCTATTGTTTCCACTATCTCTTCCTTGAAGCATCAACAATGTGTGTGTGTGTGTGTGTGTGTGCGCGCGCGCGCACGCGCGCGCACATGCATTCGTACTACTAGGAACTTACATACAACACATACACACATTGCCAGTAACGTTCTTGTCATAGACTTTTTTTTTAGATTTATTTATTTATTTTATGTACCCAGCTTTCTATCTGCTCATACGCCTGCACACCAGAAGAGGGCACCAGATCTCATTACGGATGGTTGTGAGACACCATGTAGTTGCTAGGAATTGAACTCAGGACCTCTGGAAAAGCAGCCAGTGCTCTTACTCATAGACTTCCTAAGGCCAGTCCTTACTCAGGCTTCTGGGTGTGTCACCCCCTCCAAGAGACGCTGCCTACCCAGCCAATCTAGGGAGCTTCATGACTGGATATTGGTTCGCCTGTCTTGTTTCTTTCAAATCATCCATTCCATGCTATAATGGGAATCTCACTACTCTCAGTCCTTGCTTATGTTCTGTTGTCTCCTCTAGCCTGAACCTAACGAACCCTGAAACTCTTGTCCTATTCAGTACTGTACCATATCTTCAGTTCCCAGGGTTTTCCTTGTCGGCTTTCTTGAGTCAGGGTCCCATGGAAACCAGGCTGACCTCAGACGTAGTGTGTCTTCAAGGGTGTTCTTGAACTGTTGGTTCTTTAACCTCCACCTCCTGGCTGCGGGGGTGACGGGTGTGCGGTGCAATCCTAGTTTTGAAAGTATTATTGATTATATACCCCGAAAAGCCAGGACCATCTTTGTCCTTTCATATTTGTTTCTGAGTGGGAAATGAAGTCTTTGTTCCTTCCCGAGAGGAATGCTCAGCAGATAAACTGGACTGTCCTCTCAGAGGAAAGCCCGAACTGCACACACACACACCTACACACACACACACACCTACACACACACACACACACACACGTGGAAGAAATCCAAAAGAAATGAGTCAAATGCAGTCAAATTCCAGTGGGTTATTCCTCGAGCATCTCTTGCTGAGGGAACAGCCAAGAGGACCCAGAAGCCGTAAGTTAGCAAAGCGCCGTGAGACCAAGCTGACATGGCTGCCAACGAAGCAGACGAGGCTAAGCGAGACAGCAATGGCTGCTGCCGAGGCCCCCTACAAAGGTGGCTGCTAAGCAAGGTATTGTGAAGCCTCTGAAGGTCTCTGCTCCCTGACTCAGAGAAAACACTAAATGGGCAGATCAGATTTGAAAATAATCATCTGTAACTAAAAAAAAAAAAAAAAAAAAAAAAAAAAAACAGAAAAATCAATCCCGATGCCACAAGCACTGAGTACAGTTATCTCTGGGGTGAAGTCGGGCTGCTTCTAAAAGCCATGCTTGAGAACTACTCACCTCGCCTCTTCATGGCACAGAAGTAAGGCCCAGAAAAGAACGGATGCAGTCATTACCATCTGCTTGGCTTTCTTGGTCCTTCCACACATGATGGATCTTCCCAGCATGCAAACAAAGGCCTGCCTTCTCATTTTTCCAAACTTCCGCCAGTGGTTATCCCCGCTCATATCCGACTCTACTGTCTAGGGAGTGGTTCTCAACCTTCCTAACGCTGTGACCTCATATTGTGGTGGCCCCCAACCATAAAATTATTTTTGTTGCTACTTCATAACTGGAATTTTGCTGCTGTTAGGAATCATACTGTAAATATCTGTGTTTTCCCGCAGTTTGGGGGGTTGCAACCTACAAGTTGAGAACCACTCATCTAGGGATTTTCCTCATTCAACTCCCTTACGATTTTGGGCTCTACTAGGCTGGGGTCCCTTCTCTCCTTGCACACTGCACGCAGTGCTGGCTGCTTTTCCCTGCTGGGTCCTGATGGTTCCTGGGTCAGCTTCCCACCCCACCCCCCATTGTATCTCATGTCTAGCAGACTCTCTAGTCAAAAATGGAAGTAATAACGTTAAATGAATTCTTAGATAGAAAGAGATAGAATGCTTTATTTTTCAGGTTGTATTTGCTTGTTTTTAACAGCTGTACTGTGTACTCGATGTGTAATTCACTGATTTAACTTGTGCAACTCAATGACTTGGGAGTGCTCAAACAGATACATAACCAACATCATGATCGATTATACAACATTCCACTACACCAAAAAGAAACCCCACACGCCTTAGCTGTCATTCTCCATGTCACCTAGGCTCTTGTCCAGCTGGCTAATCACTGACAGAGACTTGTTATAGCTCTGTAAACTTGCCTATTTTGACTTTCCAATGAATGTAGTCATCCGGTAACTCATCTTCTGTTATTGGCATCTGCTGACACTTGGGAAGATGCGTTTGATCATAAGCTTTCATTATATATGAAATGTGTGTGAAAGAATACAGACCTTGGTCGAGATATTGGAAGGCAAACACAGGCAGTATCCCTTAGACATAATGAACTGCAGCCTGGTTAATTGTCCAAATCCCCAAGCCCTGGGATGGCAGAGAGAATGGGCCAGGGGAGAGGGTTAACCACATCTGTCACTGTGGAGGACCAAGAGGAAGGGGATGGAACCCAGTTCAGGAGAACTGCCCCACCCTGTTGTAGCTGGGCTCTTTGAGCAGGATCTCTTAGGACCCCAGGACCCACTCAGGAAACAAACTTGGTCAAATTGGAACTTTGCCAGGCAGTAGCTGCTGCTTTTCATATGTCGCTTCTTCATCTCTACAAGGAGGATAAAAATAATTCCTCCCTTTAGGCACCTTATCAGAGGACTGAACAATCATTCCTGGGAAATGAGAGGCTGCATAGAGAAGCGCAGACTTGGAACATTGTAAACACTTGGTATGTACTTGTGTTTCTTGTTGATTGGCCACAGCTCTTTACATATTGCCCTATGTATAATGAAATATGAAAAAGGGACAGTGATCTATTTTTTTAAAATACCAACTATTATCATCGGGGAAATTTCACTACATTTTTAATAGATGTTATAAATCTTGAGCTGATTTATCTGAAGCCTAAAATTGACTTACTAGCTAGGTGAGATGACACATACCTTTAATTCCAGCACTCAGGAGAAAGAGGCAGACAGATCTCTATGAATTTGCGACCAGTTCTAGGCCAGGCAGGGCTACACAGTGAGACTTTGTCTCAAAAGCAAACCAAAACAAAATAAAGAAGCAAACTTACTGCAAAGTGAGAGTCAAGATGTGTTCACTCTGTTCCCAGCACTGAAATGTAATGGAAGGAGCTGAGTCTCCCCATGTTTCTCAGGCCCATGAACAGAAAGAATACATTGGATTTCTGGACACTGTACCTGTTCACCTGCACCCCGCTCCCA